GACTCAGAAACCACAAGGTAAGTATCAGGGAGGAAGGAGGCTTTTTGAGGTTAGCAGGTGGCCATTCTGAGATGCAATACTGTGCTGGATAGCTTTAATTTCAAGTTGACACACCTGGGTTAAGGGAGCATTACACTACATTGAAATTTCCTCTTGGGAAATTTCCTCCATTGAACTGGCCTATGGTCATGTCTGTGGGATATTTTCTTGATTGTTGAGTGATATGTGAGAGCCTACCCCACTGTGGATGGTGCCACCTTAGGGCACCTGGTCCCATATTGTAAAAGAAAGCAGGCTGAGTAAGGGCCAGTGAAGCAAGCCAGTATAAGGAGCATTTTTCGTGGCCTGTGCTGTAGCTCCTGCCTCCAGGTTTCTGCCCTGAGTTCATACCTTGGGCTCCCTGATGAAGTGCGACCTGTGAGATGTATGCCTAATAAACCCTTTCCTCCCCAAGTTGGTATTGGTCCGAGTGTTTTGTCACAGCAATGGAGAAACAAACTAGGACCAATACGCTCTTGTGGGCTAGTAACTCTTTGGAATAGAGAAAATGAAGAAAACTGTACTATACCATTATAGAAACACAAAGATGAGCTGAGCTACCCAGAGCTGGGGGTATCCTGAGGCAAGAAAGATGACATTTCTTTTAAATACCAACCATGGAAATAGGGCTCCCCAAACAGAAAGGAAATTTTTTTCTCAGTATTCGGGACTCTTGGAGGTCCTACCTAGCCCCTGAAGATTCAAGACTTCCATGAACACATGTTGGATCACAACTAGTGACACAGAGTGCCTACATAATACCTCACAGTACCCATCCATCAACACAGGTTATGCAGGCTTTCAATAAGCTACACTGTGACAAGGGTGTCCCTGACCACCAGCTGTCACACAGAAGAGTCAGCAGCACTTTTAGCTGCTTAGATATTTCTCAGGATGAGAAAGGTTAGGGGACTTAGCTTATCTGACTTCCTCTCTGAGGAACATGATAATTTTGTAACTGCCACCCATCAAACAGAAAACACACCAAGGAAGTTCTGTTCTTCACAGCTAACCATTACACTCAGCCAAATGGCATGATACCTACATGCCAAGACCACACAAAAATTGAAGAAGCATCTACTTCCCTAAGGTACAGACAACCCTATATATGCAAGAGCTCAAAGTCAACATTTATGAGGACACTTAGGCCCTAACGAATTAATCAACCCCATAAAGAGCAACACAACAGATTAGAATAACCAGGGGCAGTGGCCTGATGGCCTACTCACAATTCACATATATTTCCAATACATGGAAATTCACTGTTGCCTCTTCTAAAACATATGGTCTCATATATATGTATATATGGTATACCTGCATGTGTGTATACGCACACACGGGTGTGTAAATACCAATAAGAAGTCATACAAGGGGAGGACGAAAACTTCAACATTAAAACCATGTAACAATATCAGCAATACCAGCAGGAACAATGTCATCTACTAACCTGATGACACTGAACCGGGAAGAGATTAATTAGTACCATCAGCTACCATAAGCTAGCTCCTGCACACCCACATCCTTTCACATGAATACGGCACACATTCTACCCAATCCCCATGTAAGAGCCTTCACTCCACCCCCAGCCCACAGCACATTTTTCTAAAACAAACATAGTTTGTGATCATATAAATACAACTGCTACCAGCACCCTGAACACACAGATATCCTGCCTGTTTGTGAATTTTGGAGGGAAAACAACCCCATTTATCCTGGGTATTCTCACATCCCTGTTACAACTATGCACACATAAGTAACATGTGCATACATGTACAAACACAATGCCAGTGTGACACAACAGAAACCCAATAGGCATAGACTCTGCAAAACTACCAAGTATAAAATAATTTTCTCATACATCAACCACCCTTAAACAGACCCATATGAAATCTTACAGTCCTTCTCCAAACATTCTGAAATTCCTGAATGTACAAAATCTACGTTTTTTGTTTGCAAACAAAAAACAAGGAACTTCCTACATCGACCAAAAGACACATTGCAGACTCCTCATGAACTCAAATGCATACGCAGCCACAAACAATCTATATTTTTTAAATACAAAATATAAAACACACAAACAATGAAGCTGCATATTCAAGTAAAGTGTTCAAGAGTTCAATCCAGAATAAACACAAAGAGGAATCCTGATTCACCTATATATGCAATGATCTAAATAGATACGTTCATAAAACTCATGAATTGATAGTCAAACACTCAGACACATACAGAACGCATGTATGGAGCCCTAGGTCCTATGCCCAACACCAAGAACAGAAAAAATAGAAATAGACACAGACACCCCCATCAAGCATCAGTATAACAACTAATTTCTTTACATTATCTCACATACACACAATTCCCACACACTTGCACACACAAATATTTCCAGTACTTGAATATATACTCCTGTAGCACACTGTACAACATTCCACATATATAGAATACCACGTCCCAAGCTCATTCCCCAAACATAGAAACACACATTAACCAAAAACAGAAACATGCTTAAACCAAACCTAATTCACCTTTAATATGTTCAAACGACCACATTTTCTATGAACAGATTTCTGTATTTCATGTACGCACTGATGTATGCATACAACCAGTTTAAATGTCCAACACACATAGAAGTATCTCCAGCAAACATTTGAAACACAAATACCACTCAACTATAAAGCCCAAATTTTCACTAGGCGATAGAGACAAACAACCCCCTACATCCTCAAATACTAACAAACAACTGGACTACAAACCTCAAATATAGGTAGTATAGTCCCCACACTTGCCTGTGCGAATGTACAACCTCACCTCTCCAACAGATATGCACATTACTTCCTCCGTATATACAAATCATTCCCTATTTATAACATAGACTCACAGGAAATAGTCATTCAAACTATCTTGTCACCTTAGGAAACATGCTGTCACCCAAATATTCATCACACAAACATCTGGTCATACATAGAAAGCATGCAGACACGTGAGACATACAAGTAAATACAAACACCATTACACATACACTTCACAAGTGTCAGTCATCAATATACATACATATAGAAAACAATAAATACACAAATATGTCCCCAAACATGTACAATCCCACACAAACCGGCAAAAACAAGATGAAAAACTACAAACATTACAGGCACATAACTCACCCACCTTCCAAATGCAGAATCATCCAAACTCCACACCACAGATGTGCTGATTCATTCTACCAATTAGTCATTCAGATGCCTCACATGCTAAAATACACAAATTCCCCACAAATCTACAATCTCAGTAATAATATTTCTACATTTCCCATGTTCACTCATTTGCGCAATGATAGAAATATACACAGTTACTTTAAGACTGCCCATATACACTTATTTCTTGCCCAAAATACATGTATTTATTTCAAATTCCATTACATACTCCCAAATCCTAACTTCCAAGGAAAAAAAAAAAGGAGGTAAAATATCCCAAAACACAAATTACAAACACCTAAACAACAAACCATGGTTAAAAGCGCCATCTCTCACATTCTCCAAATTCCAAGCATGGTCCCCTAATCACTAGGCCAAGATGCTAAGACATAGGCAACCAGTGGAAAACAAATGGCAGCACTAATGATCACAGTAACATGTTGAATCTCACTAACCAGCAATGCGAACAGCAGACTGATGGTAACAAGGGTCTTAAGGGACGGGGGTCAAAAAATGTTGAGAAAATGAACCCGAGGGATGCAAAGGCGAGGACAAAAAGCTGTATCTAGTCCATGAAGATGCACTGTTGTAGGTATGGGAAGAGACAAAGGAAGTCACTTCATAAGTTATGAGCTTGGACAGTAGTTAGTAATTACTGTCCATCAACTGGCAGAAGACAAAATGAGGAACTGGTGATTTAGTTTCATTTCCAGTTTAGGAAGAAGTGTTACCTACTTAACAGAAAAACCAATTCTACAGAATTCCCCCTACAAGGTAAACTCCCCCCTTTCCACATTAGAAAAGTCTTATTTCTGAAGAAATGACCTTCCCCACCCATGCTTTTTCAAAAATATGGATCAGGATGATTAAACCCTCATTTTACAGATTAGGCACCGAGTGGCAACACTCTTTGTAGAATCAGGACGGCAAATCAGTTCTAGTCTAGGTCTAAAACACCACGAAATGAAACATAAAGATGTTGAGCAGACAAAACTCTAAGGCTTGTGAGGGTTGCTGCAACCTGGCACCTAGTAAGTAAGCCCTCACAGAATATTGGGAGGTAGTGTTTTTCCTCAGTATTTTTGCATGTATGATTTCTGACCTAGGATTTCACCCTACCTACTGCTACTTCAGCCTTGTCCCAACTCCACTAAATGGGGATTCACATCACCACATGTAGCCACACACATCATATGTAATCACTTAGTACACTTTAACTAAAATTTGATATGCATGCTTAAAAATCGAAAAAAAAGACTGCATGTATTTCTCTTTGAGAAAACTTCCACGGTGGCAACAGTTTGTACTCAACTCAATCCAACATTTTCTATGTGTTAGGTTCTAAACAGACACTGCCCCCCCCAATTTTTTTTATACTTAAGACTGAAGAAACGACAGGCCCCGTGCTGTGGTCAACTTGCCCACCATAAGACACCTGGGTGCCACTGCTAAGGCCTGTCCTGTGAATTGAGGCCAATGAAAATAAGCTTTCCAGTGCTGCTGTCAAAGTCATCTCACCGTCAGGTACTGGCCTCAGCTTGTTCCCTCTAGGTCTAGGGACCACAGCTTCCCCTTGGCGGCCCGCAGCTACTCCACTGTGGTCCACAGTCTCAACAGGCCGGCTGGCTGTCTGGAGACCGCACCCGGGACACAAAGCTGCTCAAATGCAGCTCCCACCGCAGCTCCGCCCCGCTAGACTCCCGATTCGCAAGTCCACCGTCTAAGCCCTGCCCGCGGAGCAGGCCCTGCCCCGGCCTGCCCCCTGCATCTGAACACGTCATCTTTGGGCGACTCCACGCCTCCCGCATTTTACCTGGACTGGAGGTACCGGGAACGTGAGGGGCAGGCAGTGACAGCTGTGTGTAGTGACAGCTGCCTTAATTTTCGTTTAACACCCACCCAGAAAGTGGATGACTCACTTTGCATGAATGTGTGTACGTGTGCGACCCTGCCGATGGAGGACAGAGGCAACTTTGGGAGTCGTCCTCACTAGCCACCCTGTCCTTCTGAGACCTGGTCTGCTACTGGGACCTGGGCCTTGCCTGAGGAAGCTAGACTGGCTAGTGAGCCCAAGGATCGCCTGCTCCCGCCCTCCACCTAATCCCCAGGGCTGGGATTACAAGCGCTCCCCACCACTCCTGTCTTTTTTAAGTGGGTTCTGGGGATCCGACTCAGATCCTCTGCACCTGGCGAACTGAGCTCTCTCTCCCGCCCCCAGGCAAATGATTCTTTATACCAGTAGCAGTTATAAATGCGGATATATCCTGGCATACAGCCCGTAGATCTGGAATCCTGAACTGAGGGAGGGGTCTACGGTAGAAGATAGGAGTTTATCAAAAATTCCAAAGGGGAGTATTTCAGGCACGTTATCTTCAACTCTTCCCTCAGGTTGACCACGGTGATCTTCCTGCCCGGGTTTCCCAGCCCAAGCCACCACCCCAGCCATTGTCCTCAACTCATTTTAAATATCACCGGAGAAGATACGTTAAACAGATCTGGCACATTTACAGATTTCTGTCATACGGTAAATTATATCCTTTTAATGGTGCCAAAGGCTTCTTGCCTGTTTCAGCCACATTTTCATGGTTCTAGTTGTGTCTTCCGTACCTGTACAAAAGCATCTAATGCCATTTGTCTAAAATGCCAGTCTGTACCTATCATCTTTCTGATATTCCTTGAATAAATTCTATTTTGTGAAAATCCCAGTTAAAATGCAATTTTAAAAATATAACCCTGGAGGCTGAAGAGTTGACTCAGTGGTTAAGGGCACATGCTGATCTGACAGAGGACATGAGTTCAGGTCCAAGCACCCACTTGGCTTCACTATCTGTAACTACACTTTTAGATGATCCAACACCCTTTTCTGGACTCTGTGGGAACCAGGCATGTGGTGCATTCA